CTCCATTCTTGCCCATCACCTAGGGGTAGATTGCTGCCTCTTGTCATCTACTTCTTACTAGACTATTAGTGGAAATCAAAGAACTTTCTCTGTTGTCCTGGACAGCTTCAGGTTTAGGTAGATCCTGCTGCTAAGGGGTGGAGGTGCTCAAAATCCATGCTTACCTTCTAATAGCAGCCAAACTCCGCACTGTGTCTGCAGTATGCTCTCTGCCAGTATTAGCAGACCTCTAATAATACTGGTATATGATCCTAAGCCCAGGGCTGTTTTCTGCCCTTCTTCTAGGGGTAAAAAGACTTTTTTTCTTCAATCCTCCCCACAGTGACAATGGATCTTTTCCTGTGCTCTGCAGAAAGACAGAGTTTGCTGCCCTTCCCTCAAGTTTTGGGTCTGTATGAGTGAAAGGTACAAACCAGGAGGGTGGGGCTTCATGTCTTTCTCAAAGCAGTGGTTCCTTCCCTCCTCCACACCTGTAAGGCCACTGATGGTTTTCTCTGATCTCTTACCCAGCTCTTAGTCTTTCTCATGAGCACCCAGTGGAGGTCCATGGGAAAGGACGTATGAATGAGTTAAATTCCTCCTGCATCTGGGACTCACAAATAGGGATTCTATACTAACATGTTAGCTCCAACTAAGATGTTAGCAATCCATTAAGACTTCAGTCAGTCTCCTCCTTCTCACCTGTCTGATAGCTATCCTTGCTCTGCCACAGGTGAGGGAGTCTGTGTGTCCTGTCACTCTCTCCTGAGAGGGGCCAGTCTCAACTTGGATTCCCGGGTACTTGGTCACCCTGTAACTTCAGCTCTCTGACGGGTTCCAGAAAAGGTTTCATTCTGTAGTTTATCTTGTTTGTTAGGGAGGAAGCAATATTCTTTCTAGCTTTCTACATTCAAAGTGGAAGTGTCTCATAGCAATTTTGCTTTAAAATAAAAAAAGGGCTGTGCATACATTCACATAGAAGAAAGACTGAAAGAAAAGAAATTCCCCTATATAAAGAGTAGCTATTAATGTGGTAAAGTTTTAGGTCATTTAAGTTTTTCTTCTTTGTGCTATTCTATATCTCCCAAATTCTTTACAGATATCAAATTGTATAACTTAAAAAAAGATCTGTGTGTATATATACATATGTGTGTATTCTATTAAGTCAAGTGCAAATGGTAGGATATTATTTTACCAAAGAAATGCCATTTATTTGCTCTTTTTAAAAAGAACTTTCAAAGAAAAAGAGTTTTGTGTCCTCAGAATTCATACAATTATGCATTTTTCAATATTTGTAATCCTTTTCAGCAACTGCTGTTCAATGTAAAAGAGAAAATTCCTGCTAGGAAAAAAATGAAAGTTTGATTTAAGAGAAAAATACCCATAAAGCTTCAAGAAAATCTCAATACAGCTGTTTTTCTTATTTTGAGAGCCTCGTGTTTAAGGGAGCTAATTGTTTTTATACTTATCATGTCTCATATCCCTTATTACCACCTCTACAGTTGCCGGCTATGATCTCTGTCACTCCAGGTTATAATGCAAATGTAGCCCATGGAAATAAGGTAAATGGCAACTAAAGGGTAAAAGGTAACTATAAATCTCCACCACCCCCAACAAATTGAATATTGATTTTAATTGTCAACATCAAACCTATCAAAGGCAGTTTTCAGGCGAAAACTTAATACATTCAAGCAATAAAAAGAATTCTGAACAATTTACTCACATTATCCCTTAACCATACTACCTTTTCTCCAAAAGAGGATAGAAAAATCACTACGTAATTAACTTGTAGTAATTTACATACTGTAACATACCTAACAGTACCCAGAGACCATTTGCTGGTAACACATCATTTGATGGTGGCCATTTGAAGGGTTAAAAAAGTTTTGGTTTATAACTTCCAAAGATAATCTCATTTCAAAGAGAACGTTTCTATCAACCTCATTTTCAGCAAAGAGGATAAATTAATTGTACAAATCTCATGTTTCACTTTTCACTTTGAAAGAATTTCTATCAAACAAGTTACCCAAACTATTTTCCAAATGTTTATTTTCAGAGTTGCCTAGCATACCATACATTCCATTCACTCTTTCTTCCTTCTTTTCTTTCCTTTTCTTCCTTCTTCTTTCTCTTTTTCTTTCTTTCTTTTTTCTTTCCTTCTTTCTTTTTTTCTTTCTTTCTCTTTCTTTTTTCTTCCTTTCTTTCTCTTTCTTTCATTTCTCCTTTTTCAATGCACTAAGCTGTGTGTAGAGGATATTGTGCTGAACAAAACTTAAAATGTTTCTACCCTTCAAAGGACCTTTACTTAAATCCTCAATTTGTCTCAGACCTGATTCCTACGCTGTTCCTGTGTATTTCCATCATAACACTTGTTCAGTTCCTCAATTAGATTAGGTACTCTTTGAAGACATGGACCATATTTTCAGTGTCTTAATTGTCCTTATGCCAAGCACTATCTGACAAATAATAGATTACACATAATATATGGTGAATCAATCAATCAATCAATCAACAAAGGGGCCTATAGTCTAGCACACACACAGAAACACAAAGATACAAAAAAAGCAATAAAATCTAAGATGAGCTGTGATGATAGCATTCACAGGTACAGAAGTAGCACAAAGGAGTCAGTAGATCAACTCTGTTACGGATGCAAGTGCTCAAAAAGGAATCAGCACATAATGTTTAAACTGAACCTTCAAGGATGGTTAGAAGTGAGTCACGAGGTTCAGGAAAGAAGAAATAATTTTGTTTGTTTGTTTGTTTTTATTAAAGTATAGTTGGTTTACAATGTTGTATCAATTTCTGGTGTACAGCATAGTGTTTCAGTTACATACAAACACACATTTATATGTATATACACACACATACCTTAGAAGAAATAATTTCAAACACAGAGAGGGTCAAGAACAAAGTCAGAGAAATATAAAATAGCATGTTATGATCATAAAACAGCAAATAGATTGATATGACTGAAGCACTGGATGACAGGGAAATTATCCTGGGATATGAATCTGCAAAAAGCACAGGGAGACTAGGTCAAGGGAAGAGGGAGGAGGCAGACAGACAAATGCATCAGGCTTCAGCATGAACTTCATCATATATGCTGTAAGGAATCCCTGAAAAGGTGAGAAGAAATTTAAATGATAACATTCGATTTTTAGAAAAATTACTCTAGGGGACATACAAAATAGAACGAGGAGAAAGAAAGGATAGATGGTTGGGAAAGTAAAGTTAGAGGTGGAGGAACAATTAAGAGACTACTTAAATAGTCCAAGACAAATACGACTACATCAATTAAAGCAGCCATACTGGGAAGAGAAAATTTTAAAGGAAAAAAAAAAACCTGAAAAAAAGAATCAAAATAATTTTGTTTATTATTTGTAAACAATATAATTAAACTTAGAGAGGCTCATTTACAAATGAACACTGCCGTCATTTGTTAAATGGGAATAATCAGTACTTACCACAAAGAAATAGTATGACAGCTACCTGAGAATGCATGTAAAACAGGGATGTAATAATATGAGCCAAAAAATAAGATTTATAAACATGGCAGAAATTGTTTTGTTGATCCTGATGTTGATTAGATTTCAATTTTGGCTTTAAAACTTAACTCCTTGTGAGACCTTGATGAAGTTACTTAATCTCTCTTTGCCTCACTTTCCTCCTCCATAAAAATGGAGTATGCTTCCTAGTATCTTATAAGTAAGTATTACTTCGAGTTTTATAGATGTAATAACATATTTGTAAAGGGTTTATAAAATTTAGTCCAATGTCTGAAACCGGTTTTTAAGAAAAATAGCTATTAATAGAAATAGGAGTTGAAAACAATTCTCAGATTTCTAATTTGGGTGAATGTAACCATTCATTGAGAAGAGGAGGTTCTTTTAGAAAACCAATCATGGTAACTATGAATCTCCCACAGATCCTTTACGATGAATTAAATGTTCTTCTTGGCATTTTTGAAAGCACACTCTACGTATTACAACAGTTACTATGGTATATTTTAACTGTCTATTTTCAAGTCTGTTATCCAACTGTGTCCTTTTTTTAAAATTTTTTATTGATTTATAATCATTTGACAATGTTGTGTCAAATTCCAGTGTAGAGCACAATTTTTCAGTCATACATGAACATATATATATATTCATTGCCACATTTTTTTCTCTGTGAGCTACCATGAGATCTTGTGTATATTTCCCTGTGCTCTACAGTATAATCTTGTTTATCTGTTCTACAATTTTGAAATCCCGTCTATCCCTTCCTGCCCTCTGCCCCCTTGGCAACCACAAGTTTGTATTCTATGTCTATGAATCTATTTCTGTTTTGTATTTATGCTTTGCTTTTTTGTTTTTGTTTTTGTCTTTTTTTAGATTTCCACATATGAGCGATCTCATATGGTATTTTTCTTTCTCTTTCTGGCTTACTTCACTTAGAATGACATTCTCCAGGAGCACCCATGTTGCTCAAATGGCGTTATGTTGTCAGTTTTTATGGCTGAGTAGTATTCCATTAATTCTGCAACCCCAAAAAGCAGGGTGTATCTGGTACATAAATAGGCTCAATATATGCTAGTTAAATAATTAAACTTAAATTAAAGGAGATATGGATTCCTTTAATAAGTCCACAGACTATTTGGAAAAAGGGTATTTCCAAAGGATTTTACCTGCTACTGTACTACTGTACTGACCTCACAATTTCATCAAATAGAATGCAAAAGCTAGTATATTATACCATTATTTTCTAGTAATTCTCACTAATAGAAAGTGTTGAAATGCAAATTTATAAAGAAAATAGTAGAGAATAAGGTAAGTAATATAAACAAAAACAAATTCTTCAAGAGTTTCCAACTTTCCCTTTCACCACGACAATATAAACAAACTAGCGCTGTACTGAGAAAGGCTAGTATTGAGTCTCAAAATTAGAGCTGAAGGGAATGTAAAAAGTATTCTAGAATATTTATGTATATAGAGTCATACTCTTAATATCTGTTGCATTTCCATTGTTTCATACTATACCTTAGGTGAAGATCTTCTGAAAACTTCAGACAGGCATAGATAAATTCTTTAATTTGGTTGTAAACTTTTGGCACAAATTCAGAGAATGGAAACTTTTTTGGAAATGGTTGCTGTAAAGGCAAAAATTAATGAAAACAAGTCACAAATCAGCATACAATGAAAATACTTAAAAATTAATTAAAACACAAAAGAAATCTTCCATGTTGTGAACTGTCTGCTAAACAACCTAGAATTGTTTTGTTTTGTTTTGTTTTGTTTTATCTTTTTTTTGAGGGTGTTGGGGGATTAGTTTTTTGTTTGTTTGTTTGTTTTAATGGAGATACTGGGATGGAACCCAGGACCATGTGCATGCTAAGCAGGCACTCTACCACTGGGCTATACTCTCCTTCCAATTGTGGCATTAAAAAAAAAAAACCCTCAAATTTTAAAAAATATTTCTGAAAGTTTCCTCACTCTAAAAAGAATAATTTATAAATTAAACAATAATTCCCATGTCCTCCAAAACCTCAAAGGATAAATAAATTGTGGTGCATAGTCAACAATAAAAAGGAATGAACTATTGATATATACAACAACTTGCATGAATCTCAAAACCATTATGTTGAGTGAAAGCAGCCAGTCTCAAAAGGTTGCATACTGTGTGATTCCATTTATAAGGCATTCTAGAAAAGGCAAAAGTAGATGGAGAGCAACCAGACTGCTGGCTGCCAAAGGCTGGGGGTTAGGGGAGTGATGGATTAAGAAGGTGTGGCATGAGGGAATTTTTTGGAATAATGGAACTGTTCTGTATCATTATTGTGGTAGTACATACAAGACTCAAGGCACTGTCAAAACCAATAGAATTTTATAGCATAAAGGATATATTTTACTGCATGTTTTGAGGAGAAAATATCCTAACAGTATAATAAAAGCAAGTATTTCAAAGTAGAAGCCAAAGTGGAACACTCCCAGCAATGCCCCAAACACTTCAGAGATGACAGGACTCCAAAACAGGAACTCCTATTCGTCTAAGTCCCAAAATCATCCTTTGAAAATGTTCTGGAGTTCTAACCCACTAAGTGAGAAGTAATGCCTTTAATGAGACTGACACTAGGAAATGCTGTAGAGGATGCCAGATCAGAGGACTTTATTTTAAAATACTCCTTACCTTTTCTAGCTCTGTATCTTGGAATGGGAATTGTCCCACCACCTTCTTATACATCTCTTCGCTTGTTACTGGTATAGGACTGTAGTTGTCAGAATCAAGTATGTTTCTATAAAGAAAATAAAAGAAGGAAGGGAGGGAGAGAGGAAAGAATGGGGAGTTAATCACTACGGTGATCACAAGTAATTTCAGGTGAATTTCAATGGTTGTATACATACCACAACCCAAAATAAACATTTCCCAGTCCCTATTCTATTCTTTTTGCAATGCAGCTATCTGAATTCAGGTAAGGAAATCTTTAAAAGAAGACGAAGAAAATTACATTCTGAAACAAACGGAACACAGTAATAAACATGACCTCACAATGTTTTAGGTTTACAGGTCAGAGAGAAAATTTTAGGCAACATGTTGAAGTCTTAAGGCAAACAATAAAAGAATGTAGCCCTGGAGAAGGGAAAGAGGTTTTATTTGCTCTGTTTCAAAAAATTAAATATATTTGATTATGCCCTTTAATCCTATAATAGATCTTCTATTCTAACTTTCAAAATTGGCAGATGAGGAAAAGCAAGTTCTATAATAACTTCAAATTATGTTCCTTTACTTCATCTACTGCTCTATATTAAGGATGACTTTTTTTTTTTTCATCCATTGGGTCTGACTCCTTAACTAGACCAGGGGTTCTCTAAAAACAGAGATCATACTACCAAAATCAAAACAGAAATTTACTGAAGGCATCAGATCAGATGCTCTTAAGACCTTGGATACATCATGTTGCTAATTTTCAAGAGATAAACTTCCCCTAAATAAAATTATACCGTTAACAAACCTGTTTTTTAGAAATACAAATGTTTATTATATTAATATTCGAATGAGATGCACTACACGATTATCAGTGATATGTTCATAAACTGTGAAGAGTAAGACTAAAGGGACAATGTAATAAAACTGTAAGAATTTGAAAACAGGGTAAGCTGATCTGGGGAAAAGGTCTTGCAGTAGGCATGAAGATCACTAAGTAAAGGAGTAAAGGTTTAAAAGGAGAAGAAACAAGTCAGTTGACATGGGGCGTGTGCCAGGAAAACAGTCCAAGGAGACATTTGAAAGTGGAGGTGTGATACAGTAACTTTCTTATTGTTGTATGCATGCTGCAGTAACTGTTTAAATAGCATGCTTCAAAAGTGAGATTGTAACAGGTCTCTTCTCTGGGTGCGGAGAAGAAAGAAGATGAATCACACGAGTGATTCTTCCAAAAAGGTTGCCAAAAAGCTAAATTATTCAAAAGGGCTCAAAAGCCACTATGTTAGAAGTGAGCCATAGACTAAGCATGATCCTCAAAGAGAAAAAAGAAAAAACAGATTAAGAAGCACAACAAGATCTGGATGGTATGAACCAAGGTATTTGACATTTATTCAAGGAAACAGAAGAGCGAAAATGGGATATGGGGACTCCCCACACAGTAGACACTAATACACTGGGTATCTTGAGAACTTTATTTGGAACATCAATACAATTTACTTGAATTCTCAGTTATAACCTGGATCACAGCTAGAAAATATAAGCCACATATACTTGCTGCTTATTACACCTGAAAAATCTTATGTATAAACACAAAAATCTTATGTATAAAAATCTTATGTACACACATACACAAATGCACGTGCTCACACAACACACACACACACGACTAAAGATCATTTCTCACCTGAAAATACCTGCCCACTTCTTTAGCAAAGTTTCACTGTACTGATCTCTGATTTCTAACAGCATGTCAAAAAGCTGGTTTACAGGGAAACCATACACCTGAAACAAAATAAGAAAATAGCTTCATTTTATAAGGTGACTTTTTCAAGCAACATGAGAGAGATTAGGCACTGAAAGATTTTTTTATTCTTTGGTCAACAATTTAAATAAAACCACAGGGGACTCTTTTATTCCTACCTAAGAAACAGTGTTTACTTTAAAGAATTAAAAGATACAATACCATAATATCTAAGCCAGTCAGAAAAGAAAAGATGAACATTAAAATTAATATATACTGTGTGTAACTGTCAGCTAAGTTTTCCCTACAACTCCTTCTGTAACTCTTAGCAACCTTCAGGTGTAGGGAGAGAAAATGAAAACTACCAGTCTCACCCACTTCTAATGCTATTGTATTGGCTATAGTATGTGGTTCAAATCAATAATCATTATTCAAAATGGTAGTTAAGAAACTCCAAAATCACTCAGGCAATGTATCTGAATTAAGGATATTCTGAAGAACTAACGTAGTGAGTTCAATTAATTGATTAGCTTTGAGAACAAAACAGGGGGATGAGAACTATTTATGGGAACGTGAATGGTCAAGGTGATGACCAGGAAATGCTACAGAGATAAAAAGATGCGGCTCTAGGAAAAGAAGAAACACAACTGCAAACTAAAGGTGCTTACTCAAGCTTAGACAGACAATGAGAAGATTAAGAGCTGATAAAAAGCTCATCTAGATAGGCATATGTAAAAAGAAGTCACAGACCTGAAGTGTGTCCGCAAAAAGCACAATGAGGTTCTTCAAATCTAACACGAGGTTTGGATCAGAGCAGTAAGACTAAAGGAAATAAAAGACAATGAAGGAAAACATCTTAATTATTAAAAATAAAGTACAGTTTTGATTTACCTACTTATTTAACGCTTCACCTGGTGAAGAGTCTCTAGAAAAGGTCCAACCCTTTCCTGGTTTAAAGGAACACAACAGTCAACCAGGGAAGAGCTGAGGAAAGACTCAAGTAAGCCATGATCTATATTTTTGACGCTTGAAAATTTAAAAACACAATTGTAAATAGCTGTTTGGTTAAAGAAGTAATCAAAATCGATATTGTAGATTATTTTAAAATGAACAATGAAATACGTCATATCAAAACCTATGGAACAGCTAAAACCATTTTCAAAATAAAACTGTATCTTTATATAAGAATATTAGAAAACATAAAAGATTTAAAATTAAAAAACCGAGCACTCAACTCATGAAGTGAGGCCAAATCAGCAAAATTAAACCATAATAAGTGAGAGAAAAAACTGATGGGAAAAGTAGAAATTAATGACAGAGATGACATAAAAGATCTGATCCATGAAATCAAAGTCTGGTTAAAAATAAAATCAATAAAATAGACAAATCATAGGCAAGTCTGACTAAACAACAAAGACAAAACTAAACAATACAAAGAATCCAAAGAGCAAACAAAAATACAGAGGAAAATAAAAATTACAAATAAAATCCACGTACAATCTCTTATCAACAAATAGGAAAATTGAAATGATATGGAAGAAAGCTTCTGTGGGTAACATACAAAAATGTATATGTCACTGTTTTTCAGTGATTTTGATATTCAAATTCTCTTAATTATTGGTTGGTTACATACTCTCTACGTAAATCTCTCAGTTACAGAGACAGGCGTGCTGAGTTTTCCCACAATGGTGTCGCTCTTCCTAAGTTTCTCTTCCTATTACCAACGGCTTTTCTTTATATACATATTGATGCTTGCATATCCCTAGAAAAAGGGCTACTGATTTTTTTGGTGGGTTAAAACTAATGTCAAGACAAACAAAATGTTCCTCTCCTCTCATTTAAATGTCTGCAACTTCAATTCTATTTGCCTTGTGAAATATTGCCCTTTCTGTTTCTCTTGCTTTATTTTCAATTTTTCTGTAGAATCTTAAAGTATGTAACCAAAATGTAAAACTTTCTCTTTGACATTTCCCATGAAAGGTGACATGTTTGGATCTATGCTAGCCATTTTAAGTTTTCTATTTTCAATGATTTCTTCCTTCTCTTTTTGTTTCCTTTCATATTTTTCAGTGGATCAGTTTTTTTCAAATTATCTTATACTATTTATTATTAAGTCATATACTTTCTGCCCATTGTTTACTTTAATAAATATGAAGATTTCATTCAAAAAGCATTTTAAGCATTAAGCCTCTCCTTTTGTAGGAATTTTCAAAAGCATTAAACTGTACAAACAATCTAACAATCAGTCACTTAGATTTATCTATGAGTTTTACTGTCATTTTTTGCACACATTTTATTTAATTCTATCTCATCTTGTTTTTTGGGTTTCTTTTTCATTTTTGGTAAAACACATGTAACATAGGATGGTTGAAAAGTAAACTTTGAATCCTCATGTGTTTCCAAGTGCTTTTTTTTTTTCCACTCAAACTAAAACACTTAATTTCAGATGTGAGAAAACTGCTCTCATTTACTCTCCTTGACAAAAAATGCATCCTTTCACTTTTAATAATCTAGTTTTTCTTTACTACAGGGAAACTGCCTTCACTTATTTAATTATTAAAGCCCCCTCCTTTGTGACTGTCCTTTCTTTCTAAATCTATTAGATACAACCAAATATCTACATGATTTATCCATGTTTCTTACTTTTCCATTCATATTTTCCATCTCTTTATGTTTCTGCACTATATTTTGGGATATATATTTGACTTTGTCTTCTTGATCATAGAATGATAAGCAGTTTCATCTATTTAATCTTTGAATTAAACTTCTCTATTATGGTAGTTATACATTTCAAAAAAGCAATGTTTATCTTTGATTTCTATCTTTCTTTGGCTTGCTTCCTTCCTTTTCCTCCTTCCTAAATATATATTTTTAAATGGGAATATAGAAAAAATGAATAAAAGCGGTAAGAACAATCTTACCAGGCAAACAAAACTGAACAGAGCAGCATGCCAGAAGCTCCCAGATGCTCTAAACACAACTTCTTTCCTCTCCATTAAGGAAAACAATATCATGACATTTACAGTAATCATTTCCATGTCTTTCTTTCGTTTTTTGCTTCGCTGTATTTTTTAACCTAATAAACTTTATTTTTTAGAGCAGTTTGGCATTTACAAATAAATTGTGGAGAAGGTACAGAGAGTTCCCACACACCCCTTCACAGACACTCACGCTCAGATGTCCCAATTGTTACATCTTGCAGTAGTGGTACAGCTTGTGAACCAATACACATTATTAACTAAAATTCATAGTTTACATTAAAGTTTATCCTTTATGTCATATAATCTATGGGTTTTAACATATGCATAATGACATATTTCACTATTATAATATCATAGAGAATAGATACACTGCCCTAAAAATTCTGTCTTCCACTTATTCATCATCCTGCCATCCCTCTTCAGAATCTTGGCAACCCCTATCTTTTTACTATCTCCATAATTTTGCCTTTTCCAGAATGTTATATAGATAGTTGGAATCTTAGGGTTCTTTTACTTTAGCAATATGCATTTAAGCTTTCTCCATGTCTTTTCATGGATTGATAACCTATTTCATTTTTGGCATTGAATAATATTCAATTATAAGGATGTACCAGAGTTTGTTTATTCATTCGCCTACTAAAGGACATCTTGGTTGCTTCCAGGTTTTGACTATTATGAATAATCTGCTGTAAACATGAGTTGGGGCAGGTTTTTGTGTTAACATAAGTTTTCAATTCATTTGGCAAATACCTAGAGTGCACTTGCTGGATCATATAATAAGACTATGTTTCATTTCATAGAAACTGCCAAACTCTCTTCTAAGCTGGCTGCACCATTTTTCATTTCCATTAGTGATGCAAGTTCCTGCTGTTCCATATTCTCTTTAGCATTTGGTGTTGTCAGTATTTCGGATTTTAGCTATTTTAATAGGTGTAGTGGTAGCTCACTGTTGTTTTAATTTGCAGTTCCCTGATGTCATAATCTTTGAGCATTCTTTTTATACACTTTTTTGCCATTTGTATATTTTCTTTGGTGAGGTATCTGTTCAGAACTCTTGCCCATTTTAAAATTGTGTTGTTTTTCTTATCGTTGAGTTGTTAGACTTCTCTGTACATTTACAATACCACTCCCTTATCAGATATGTGTTTTGCAAAGATTTTCTCCCAGTCTATGGCTTGGCAGTTCATTCTCTTAATTTCATTGCTTGTAACCACCTAAATACTCAGGCTTACTCAGTATTTTCTTTCTCAACATTATGTAAATAGAAATAAACTGGATGTAAAATTTTTTACCTTGCTTTTATAATTCAACATCGTACTTGTGAATATCATCCATGCAATTGTTTAAGGCTACAGTTTGGCCACTTTCATTTTGTATAATATTATATATAATGAGTTTAAACCAGATTGCTAATTTTATTACCAACAGACATTTAAGTCATTTCTAATTATGAAAATCCAACAATGCTGAAATGAATATTCTTGCATGTATATTACAGTGCATTAGGACAAGTTTCTCAAGGGAGTATAGTTAGGATAAAATTTCTGGTTCGTGGGGATCTTCAATATTACAAGATGATGCCAAACTTCTTCAAAGGGTTTTACCAATTTAAACTCATTTTCTTAGTAGTATACAAGAGTTCTGAATGCTCTATATCATTATTAATATTGTATTATTAATTCTTACATAATATAATCTCATTTGGTTTTAACTTGCATTTTACTGATACATTAAGGTTGAGCATCCTTTTTTGTTATTATTGAAGAATAGTTGATTTACAGCATTGTGTTAGTTTCAGGTGTACAGCAAAGTGATTCAGTTATACACACATTTTTTTCTCAGACTCTTTTCCACTATAGATTATTACAAGACATAGAATATAGTTCTCTGTGCTATACAGTAGTAAATCCTTGTTAATTTGTCTATTTTAAATATGGTGGTGTGTATCTGTTAATCCCATACTCCTAATTTACCCTGGCTCCCCTCTTCTTTCCCCTTTGGAAACCATAAATTTGTTTTCTATGTCTGAGTCTGTTTCTACTTTGTAAATAAATACATATGTATTATTTTGTAGATTATACATATAAGTGATATTATATATTTGTCTTTCTCTGTCTGACTTACTTCACTCAGTATGATAATATCTAGGTCCATCCATGTTGCTGCAAATGACAATATGTCATTCTTTTTATGGCTGAGTAATATTCCATTACACACTTACACACACACACACACACACACACACACACACACACTTCTTCATCCATTCCTCTGTTGATGGGCACTTAGGTGCCTCCATGTCTTGGCTATTGTAATAGTGCTGCTGTGAACACTGGGTTGCATGTATGTGTTTGAATTAGAGTTTTCATCTTTTCTGGATATATGTCCCAAGTGGGATTGCTGGGTCATATGGTAACTCCAGTTTCAGTTTTTTAAGGAACCTCCATACTGACAATTTTGTTTCTTCCCTTCAAAGGCTTATTTTTTAATCAATTTATGTTTCTGCCCTTACAACACTAAATAAAACTTCAAGTACAATACAAAATAGGAGAGATGGCAAGTATGTATGATATTTGTTACAGGTTTTTGAGGATAGCTTTCACCATTTTTAAGAAAATTTCTTATGTTTCTAATTTACTAACAGATTTTACCATGAATTTATGGTGTGTTTTATTAAATGCTTTTTTGCATCTATTGAAATTATTATGTAATTTTTATCTTTTAATCTATTACTGCATTAAATTACATTAATAGACTATATATTTTTAAATTTTTTAAACACTAAATTATCTTCTATTATTAACTCCTTGCTGTTATTCCTCAAACTGTTCAGACACAAAAGTACCTCAAAGCCCTTATACCTAGGATGTTCTTTTAATTGATCTTTGAGTAAACAGTGATATTCAGATCTCAGAACATCACTTCTGATCAACCAGTCAAAAGCAGGGACCTTGTCCTAGTCTATCCCTCTGTTTTCCTGTTTGCACTGTATTATCACTGTCTGATATTTTTATTTTCTTATTGGGAACCCCCCCCTCAATTAAAATAAAAATCACTGAGAGCAAAGACTTTATTCCTATTCACTGTTGTAGTCCCGTTGCCAACACACAATCATTAGTCAAGAAATACTGAATGAATGAATGAATGAATGAATGATTAATTAATTCAGAGCCAGCATTCTCTACCTGAAATAAAATCATCAAAAATTGATGCCAGCATAAAATGTATCAATAGAGCATGGCATTAGGCAACTTATTGAAATGCTGCAGAGTAAGAGTAAATCTGTGAACCTCAAATCAGTATTACCAGGCATTATACAGGCAATATGGAGTAGTGGCTAAGAACACTGGCTCTGAAGTCATAGTGTTGAGATTTGAATCCAAGCTCCAGCACTTACTGGGTGACATTAGGCTGGTTACTTAACCTCTCTGTGGTTCCCCAGGCTATACATAAAAATAGCACCTACCTTACAGGGATACTGTGAGGATAAAATATATATGAAGTACACAATAACAATACAATGACAATGCCTGAGACATAGACAGCAATCAATAAATGTTAGCTGCTGTTTTCTTACTGAGAACAGAGCACCCACAAAAGTGGGCTCAGTGTCAAAAACCATGGCAATGTGAAGTGGCTACTTTCATATATCTTTGAAAGAGATTCTCCAAATGGGTGACTCCAAACAATACACATATGATAATTTGACAGCAGTAGAACATTAAACAGTACAGAGATAATCAGCTTGCAATAAGAACTTGTCTTGGACTCCTTACATACCGAGTGGGTACGGAGTGCCGCGATGGTTTTTGAAAGTGCCATTTCCCACAGTTCATCAATGTAGGCTCTGTTTACTAAGCCCTGGGTTGTATGTAAGATGTGATCTTCAACCACAAAAAAGCTAAGATTGAGGAAGAAAGAAAGCACAGCTGTCAGAAATTACAGTTTGACTACTATCTCCAAGGTATGACAAACATTAAGAGTTGCCATCAAATTCAAAGATAATACTAGTCATTTTTTTACTTATAAAAAGATGTGGTATCACAAACAAAATCAGATTTTTTAGACTTGGAATTATGCCCCAATCATGATATCATCTTAATCACTTCTACAGAAATTGGGGTTACATTTCTATTAAAAGTTAGCCATGTTACCCAGCAACTTAAAGGGGAAGAAAATGTTTATAGGTAAAGGAGGCTAATTTCACTACATTAAAAACACCAGGCATTAAAAAACTAATTTTTAAAAACTAATAGATTTTAAAGAAACAATGAAAGCTAAAATACACATTTTTTTAAAGAATTAAACATAAAAAATATCAAAATTATTCCCCTTATATGGACTTTCTCATCAAACTGTTGAAAAATATTTTACAAAGGTAAAATAAAATGCACAGATATTTTTTAATATTCTGCTGTGGCTTTTTTATTTTTATACATTTAAAATGTATCTTGCTACCTTGCCTAAACAGTCATATTAATTAAAACAATTTTTAAATAAGGAATTTGTATGATATATTTTAATCAAAACTGTCGATTACATTGAAACGATCTAAATTTGAAAATAAAAAGAAACTTCATGGAACAATCCAACTTCCTTTCCTTTCTTCGAACTGCAAAGTCATTATTTTGCAATTAAAATAAATTGCCTATATTTGGGGTGTCTATTTGGGGACAGTATTTACATACTAGCATATGTGCTCTAGATAAGGGTGGCAAACTATATAGTCCATGGGACTAATCTGTTGCTTGTTTTCATAAATACTGTTTTATGGGAATACAGCTATGGTCACTCATTTACATACTGTCCATAGCTGCCTTCACACTTCAACAACAGAACTGAAAAATAGATACAACAGAAACTGTGTGGCCTGCTAAGCCTAATACTTTACTCTTTGGCCCTTTCAGAAAAAGCTTGCCAGCTTTTGCTGATTATTTGGTTCCTTCTTATCAAGAATGAAGAAACAAAACATCAACTATAATAAGATTAAAATTCAATGTTTTTCTCCCTTTATCCACAAAAAGTATTCTCCAACAATATAATGCTGAAACCAAGAGACATTCCTTTAACATCATCAGATAGTCAAAACTAAATCTTAAGAATTTTAAAAAAAGAAAAAGAATTTCCCAAAGAACGCTTGATAAATTTTCCAAGTCTCACAAAATTTATATAAAACATTGAAAGTGTATAAATTTAAATACACACACACACATATATACCCACCCAACAATCTGATTAAAATACTTCCTGTAACCGTCTAAAGTTTCATGCTGCAATAAAGCAAAGAAGAAAAAAGTTACTGTTTCTGTTTCGATACATTAAGACAGTTAAAATTAGCTAATTTCTTTAGGCTCAATTCCCAAGACTATATGGTAAATATAATAATATAACACATAAATATAAAATATAATAATAGTACTAATCCTACAGGATTACAGTGAGGATGAAATGAGACAACACATAGAGACAGCAGCTTACAGCAATGCCTGACACACAGCCATCGGTACATGTTAGCTGCTATTTTCTTTTTGCAAGTCACGTAAACCAAAAGTGGTCCCAGAATGACAATTTTTTAAAAACTAAAAGACATATATGCAAAATAACTAAAAGATACCAGAGAAGGAAAGTGAAAAAAGAGAGAAAAATGAAGGTGATGATCCTACCATATTAGATGGAGGCTGGAGCACCAAACGAGCCTGTTTTCGCCTCTGTTTTCGGTAGTAGTTCTCGAATGTTTCCCGGGCACCCTGTAAAACAAACGAAAGAAAGTGGGTGGACACACCTGGACCAATTACTCTAGTATTTCATGGAAAAAGAGACGCTCCCAGGTCTGGAATTGAGGCAGCCCCACGTTTCTCAACATCTGCTATTTTAACAATGATAATCCCTGAAAAAATTAAAAGTAAGTAATACCATTTATTGAAACTTACAACTCCTTATAGAGATGGATACAAAAGATTCTTAAGAGGAAACTACCAGAACGCAACCTCCAACGCACCAAAGCTGGTTTCTGAATCAATTAGTACAAATTCACAAGAATGAAGACAAACCAACATTCTCATCGGTTATAGTAAGAGTTGACAAAATGGTCCTAAAAAACCTCACAGAACATTCCAGAGGAAAAATCCAGAATGAAACCCAGTCTCAAATACATCATGAGCGAAGGGCCAAAGGGAGGCAAGGAAAAAGGCAGGAGCTAAGAACAATAGTCAGTCTTCCCAGATATAATATAATCTAGCAGAGCATTAATCCAAAAAAGGAGAAACAAAGCCCTGGAAATTCTTAGTGCACAATTTCTACTTTTCATTTAGGGTTTCTGCGCTTAAAATGAAAAGGCGCTCTAGAGAACAAAAGCTAACTCATGAGCTCTATAATAGGGCTGAATAGCGTCCTCTCAAAATTCACGTCCTTCCCAGGACCTCACAATGTGACCCTATTTAGAAATAGGGTCATTACAGATGTAATTACTTAAATTAAGATGCAGTCATACTACAGTAGGGCAACCCTTAATCCGACATGACTGGTGTCCTCATAAGGAGAGGAAATGCTACAGGAAGGCAGAGACACAGGGAGAATACCGTGTGGCAGCACGGGCAGGGATGGGCGTGAGGCAGCGGCAAGCCACGGAACCCCAAGGGCTGCCGGCCACCACCAGGAGCTGGGGAGAGGCGAGGAAGGATTCCACCCAGAGTCCCAGAGGGAGGACGACCTTCTGAAATCTTGATTTTGGATTTGCAGCCTCCAAAACTGTGACAGAACAACTTCTGTTGTTTTAAGCCATCTGGTTTGTGGTACTTTGTTACAGCAGCCCTAGGAAATTGATATAAGCTCGAAGCTTTTAAAACATGATGCTCCCCTATTATTAAACGCTACTCTCAAGACCTTTCTACATAAACAGAGTCGAAAGGGAAAGACAGCATTGCACAGTGGTTAACAGTACTGATTCTGGAATCAGACGATTTTATTAAAATTGTGGCTCTGCCCCTCACTAGCTGTTTAACTCAAACGACTAGCTATATAATTTCCCTTTCCTTAATTGAACTTCCACTATTTAACTCTCTAACTTTCAATAATAGATGCGCTATGTTTATTCATCTGTAGAGATGCCAACCTCATATGGTTGTTA